TTGTTTGGCGGGCCCGGGCTGGATTCGAACCTGCCACCTTAGGTGTATGTGGCTGGTGCCTTAACCACTTGAGCCACAGGCACTGAGCCAAGAACATTTCTTATAAGAATATTATTTTTATAAAATGAATATAAGAACAATTTTCCAATGTTTACTGAGTATCTTTTGCCATATGAAACTTTTAACATTGTTTCTGAGTTAGTACCAGGAACACCATCTATTCATTCTGATATTTTAATCACCTACACAACATCTGAAAACTAAAGGTTTACAAATGGAAACATGTTTCTCTACCATGTCACACATCATAATGTAATGTAATTATTCTAAACTAGGAGTAACATTTTGATATGCAGGAAACAGACAACTATGAAATAAGAAAAAAACAAGAATTAGCTCTGCAGTGAAAATATATAGTATTTTCAACATTATATTTACCATAATGCTTTTACTTTCAACATTATATTTACTATAATTCAGTTAAATACACAGTAATACCATAACTTTGAAACTTGAGCCAGAGGCTGGGCACAGTGGCTCATGCCTGTAATCCTAGCACTCTGGGAAGCTGAGGAAGGAGGACTGCTTGAGCTCCACAGTTCAAGTCCAGCCTAAGAAAAAGGGAGACCATGCCTCTACTAAAAATAGAAATATTAGCTGCAGGTTTTTATTTTATTTTATTTTATTTATTTTAGAGATAGAATATCACTTTGTCACCCTCGGTAGAGTGCCTTGGTGTCACAGCTTACAGCAACCTCTAGCTCTTGGACTTAGGCAATTCTCTTGCCTCAGCCTCCCAAGTAGTTAGGACTATAGGCTCCGGCCACAATGCCTGGCTACTTTTTGTTTCAGTTTGGCTGGGGCTGGGTTCGAACCCGCCACCCTCGGTATATGGAACTGGTGTCCTACTCACTAAGCCACAGGCACCGCCATATTAGCTGGACACTGTGGTATATGCCTGTAGTCCCAGCTACTCAAGAGGCTGAAGCAGGAGGATCGCTTAAGCCCAGGAGTTTGAGGTTGCAGTGAGCCATGATGATGCCACAGCACTCTATCCAAGGTGACAGAGCAAGATCCTATTTCAAAAAGAAAAAAGGCCAGGTGCAATGGCTCACACCTATAATCCTAGCATTCTGGGAGGCTGAGGTGGGTGAATCACCTGAGCTCAGGAGTTCAAGACCAGCCTGAGCAAGAAACAGAAAAACTAGCCAGGTGTTGTGGCTGGTGCCTGTAATCCCAGCTATTTGGGATTTAAGGCAAGATGATCTTTTGAGGTCAAAGAGTTTGAGATTGTTGTGAGCTATGACACTATGGCACTCTATCCACGGTGACCAAGTGAGACTCTGTCAAGGAAAGGGAAAAGGAAAGGAAAAGAAAAGGAAGCAAAGAATAAAGAAAAGAGGAAA